AGTTGGACTTAACTGAAACAGTTCCCCAGGGATGCATCCAGGAGGCATCCTAGATAGATGCCCAAACCACTTCAACGGGCTCTTGTCGATGCAAAGGAGCAGTGTCTACACGTTGAGCTCCCCCTAAATGTCCGAGGTCCTAACCCTATCTCTAAGGCTGAGCCCAGATGCCCTGCAGAGGAAACTCATTTTGGCCGCATGTATCCATGATCTCATTCTTTCAGTAACTACCCAAAGTTCAAGTGAGTGTAGAAACATATATCATCTAGTAAATTGAAATCAAAAGCTCCCTCTTTACCATGACGGAACTGTACAGCATCCGCATTACTTCCGATGCTGCACTGATCCGTCTGTCAATCTCCTGCTCCCTTCTTCGTTCACTCATGCAGGGCCCCAAGATAACTCTTTTGATTAAGGCAGTAACTCATCTCAGCCTGAAAGGGGCAATCCACCCTTTTCCGATTGAGAACCTTGGTCTGATCCTCATCTGCACCATTTCACGCTCAGCTACAAACTTCCCCAGTGGATATGCAACAGGGCCAAATCATCTGAAAAAAGCAAAGATGTGTTCCTGAGGTCACCACACCAGACCCCTTCTACCCCATGGCTGTGCTTAGAAATTCTCTCCATAAAAGTTATGACTATATGTATTATTATGTATTGATCATATTCTGTCTTTACATTTAGGGAATTCTTTATGCCAGTAGTAGGCAGTTATGAGCTCTCTTAATAGCTCCACTTCTACAGAGGCAGCTTAAGATAAATGTACATGCCCAATTTACCTTATCATTGCACTACTTAGTGGATGAGATACGTAATAGTGGGGGCATGTACATATTGTGTACGGCACTGGTGGTCTAATGGTTTTGGAAGCACATTTATAATTGAAAGATTGCTGGTTTGAATCCCCAACCAGCAAGATACCACTGACGTACTCTGAGCAAGATACTGCTCCCTGGGTGCTGAATTGCCCCCTGCGATGTCAAGATGTCACATATGGGTTAAATGCAAATTTTATTGTTGTGTGCTGTGGTGTGTCAACACTGATCACCTAATTCTATTCTATACTTCCCACAGATTGCATCAGTCATCCAATAGCAACTTATTTAACAGTCCTTGATGCTTTGCAATGTAGTGCTTGATTTAAAATCCAGAGAACCAATATCAGTGCTCAAACAAAAAAAAAGTCAAAGCAGAAACTGATGATGTGCAAGTGATGCTGAAATATGGGTGTAGTGTTGCTTATTTCTGTGTAATAATTGGGAATTGGGAAATGCCTTTTTAAAAAGTGTTAATGCAATGGGACAGCCCATGTCTGACTCCACATTCTGCTTTGTGATTTGCCTGTTTGTGTGCCTAGCCCTTGCTGTTTGTTTTCTCAATCCCATGCCTTTTGTGTAACCCCATCCACGGCTTGGTGTAGTGGCTGGGCATTCCTGTTAGTACGTTATTTTTCATCATTAATTACTCAAAGCCCCGAATAGCCCTGGACGAAACAGAGCAGGCATCTGTTAACTGCAGGTATTTGTGATTACACCAGAGGTGCCACATGAAAGTAGGTAGCTGTTGGTGGTTGACCTATTGGAGATGAAACTGTTCAGGACATGTTGATGGTATAAATGGTAGTGCCTTGTACTTTATATGCTCACATAAAACAAGACAGATCACCATATTTCTTCCTTCTTTTCCCTTCAATGACACTTCAAATCTGCAAAATTTTTGGACCCTCAAAAATTAACTGAATTTATCTGGAAGTTGATGATAATACTGCAGTACTGCAAGCACTCATCCTGACCAGTCCTCGGAGGCCATTCAAAACTGCTTCCCTCTCTGAGTATGATTCCTATTTGTGAAAGTTCTGGTGTACTAATTATATCCACGGTCTGAAAGACAGTGAAGAGTTTGAATCTCTCGATGCTTCTCTTATTGCTGGGGAATAGGCATTCTTCTTTTAGTGCACCATGAATAGGTTTCACCTCTGGTCCAGGTGCATACAACAAGGGTAATGCGGTTAAGTGTCACTTCCCGTTCACCAAAAAATTAATGACCTGGACCAATAGAATAAACATGATTATTTTATCATTTTCAAACTGGGTAATATTTTGCAATGTAGCATTAGGACAAGAAAAATATTTAAACTGGTAAATTGGCTCCTTTCTCCCAGCAACACTGAAGCTCCAGGGGAGTTCCGCCTCCTCCAAGATCCTTATATAGCCACTGGATGCACCTCCTCCCACCCTTCTAGCCTTTGCGGAGGGGTTTCGGAGTCCAGGAAAACTATATTATTCTGAGGGATGGAGCATGGGGGGCAGGACAGGAAGAAAATGGGAAAGGAAGCAGATGAGATAAGGAGAAAAGGAGATAGAGGAGAGAAAAGATGGAAGGAGAAGGAGAACAGGTTATAAGGATGACAGGAGAGAGGGAGGACATGGCAGGAAGTAGGAGAAGGAAAACAGGTTATACAGACAACAGGAGAGAGGGAGGACATGGCAGGAAAGAGAGGAGAAGGAGAGCAGGCTATAAGGACGACAGGAGAGAGAAAGGACATGGTATGGAAGAGAGGAGAAGGAGAGCAGATTATAAGGACATGAGAGAGGGAGGGCATGGTTGGAAAGAGGAGAAGGAGAGAGGCTTGTAAGGACAACAGGAGAGAGGGAGGACATGGTAGGAAAGAGAGGTGAAGGAAAGCAGGTCATAAAGATGAAAGGAAATAGGGAAGACATGGTAGGAAAGAGGAGAAGGAGAGTGGGTTATAAGGACAACAGGAGAGAAGGAGGACATGGTAGGAAAGAGAGGAGAAGGAGCACTACTCAGGGGCATTGGAGGTATCTTATGTACAGCCCTCTCTGCCCAGAAAGGGCTTTGTCTGTCTATTCTTTTGTCATCTTTTCTTTGAAATTATGACATCCCGTGGCTCTGTGCTGGTGAAACGTTATCAGCCAATAGACTATTGAAATCAGGCAATTAGTGCCAAGTAATGGGACACTCTCGTAATGTAACCTGGCTGCACAGCTGATCTGCCAAATGACACAAATACATCACACATGCCCTTGCCTCTGCTTAAAGTGTTTTCTGGTTGACATGACCAGAAAAATTAAATTATTGATTTGATTTAAACCAGAAATTAGACATTGAGGGAACAACTGTTAAATGATTCCTTCATACAAGACAGAAGCTAAGGTCAGTCTTCTTGTCTGTAGAGTGACCATGATCGGCTTTGTGATTCATCATCTTTAAGCCAACTCCGGAATGATGATGGCTTTTTGTACAAATGTGTGTGTTTCACATGCTTAAGGTGGTACAGCTGAACATAGTACCAGTCAGACAGCCTTATGCCACTGCCACTTTACGTATGTACGAACAAATGACAAGTCTGTGCAACTATAAGCAAGTCTAAGTCTGCCTAACAGTCTGTGTGTCTGTGTCTGTGTGGGAGTGAGGGCTGCAACGGCCAGTAACATCATCAGCTAAGCATACCAGGTGGTGTGCATCGTTTAATTTTGTTACATTTAGTAACTTAGCTTTTATTGTTTTTTGATATAAAGTGACATCCTGTTCACATGGATTTATATAACTGGGTCTTATTGATGTAATATAGCATAAATAACTGCTATATGGCACTAGGAAGGATCTGTTCTTGCTTCAGCCTGCAGTATTTAAAACTAAGCCACCTGCAAGTTAAGTCGTGTAGTTACAGTTGAATATAGTAATGTACAAGCTTGCTGTAGTGGCTATGGGAGTTTTCTGGAAATAATATATATGAGGAAGGCTATAAAATTTGTAAAATCTCAGGTAGAAATGGATTGATCCCAGAGGGAAATTCTAGTGCATATAGCAGTGAGTATTAAGACATTTTGTGATACCATGAATAAGGCTCTCTATCTGCAATAAAAATTTGTATTAACATAATGAAACATTTTGCCTGAAAATGTATAGGTTGGCTTTTTGGATAAGGCAATCAACGTTAAGGATGCCATGTCTATTAGTATTACAGTAAAGCGGACAGATCAGGCAGCCACAGGCTCCCATTGCTGGCAGATTCATGCTATGTATATGTGTGCTGCCTTCATTGTGCAGAATGCTGCCTAAAAGTAACTGACAGGCAGAGAAAATAGATATGGGTTGCAAGAAGAGAGCAAAGGCAGAAACCGAGACACAGCCAGAAATTGGCAGTTTTGCCTCATTATTATAGATTTGTGGGACTGAATCGGGTCTGCACACACACACACGCACACACACACACACACACACAAACATACTGTACACGTTGGGTATACATATCTTTATGGGGACCGTTCATTCATTCCTATGGGAAAAATGCTGATGCTAAGTATGACAACCTTAACCCCTACCCAGCCCAAACCATAGCCAGAAGTAATCAATCAAAATACAGACTTTTTTGATTGCATTCACAAACTTTTAGAAAATTGAGGTTATCCAAATGGGGATGTGAAAAATGTCCCCAAAAGTAAGGAAGTTTCAGGTTTGACCACAATTGGGCACATTTTGGTCACCACACACACACACACACACACACACATGCACACAAGTTTGTATTCATATACTTTGACATAGAATGTCAGTCTTTGCATAGAATGTCAATTCATTTCTATGACAACCTTAACCCACAAACCAGCACAAAGTACAGGCAGAACATGCACACTCAACACAAACAAAGCACGGTGGGGTTCAAACCCCCCACTCCAGAACTTACAATGCTACTTACTGCACCATACGTATAAATCTCTACATAAGCAGTATGTAATAACATATGAAACTGTAATTATTTGTTCCATACCTTGTGCCCTGAGCTCCCTGGGATAGGCTTCAGGCCCCCCTCGGAGCCCTGTACTGTAGAAGTGATAGATAGAATGGATGGATGGATGGGTGTTTATATTTTTGCTTGGTTGTCTGAAAATGCCTTCCAGTGTGAGTCATTATGTGAGTTTTTGCATTGTATGTATGCCTGTAATGACTGTGTTCCTGCATGTTTGTTTCAGAAAGAGTGAGGATATCTGCTTGTTAAAAAAAAAAAAGCTGGGGTCATTTGGAAATCGCCAGCATCTGCCACAGTGATGTCAATGCCTGGTGTTTCCATGGAGACCCCTGCTGCCGGTCATGAGTAAGCATCTCCAGAGACATCTATGGCTAAGGCAAGAGGGAGAGACAAAAATAAACACTTGAGACCGGTGCATTAAGTAATGCACTTACCCGTCTCATGCCAACGCATCGTCACGGTCATTGTTGTGGAGCAAAGCAGACAACAAACAATGTAATTAGGGCCGTTCATCACTGTGCCACTTTTCGTTTCTTTCCCTGCGAAACAGGTAAATGGAGCCATGCATGTTACCCATGTGGTGGAGAGCATATTTGTTGGTGGGAGGTTTGTTTTTGAAAAAACATGGCAGACAACAAAGACTGAGAGGCCAAACTGTCATTGCTCGACTGCTGTTACTTGAATATAGTATACAAATGTGAAGGAGAAACAGACCCTTCTTTGGAGATGCAGTGGAAACACTTTTAAAAGTTGGAACAGTTGCATACAAGTCAATAAATATATGTGCATTTATGTTAGAAAATAGGTTTCAATTGATTTTTGCATAGTACAATATTAAGGGGTCATTTCATACAAAAAATCTTGGTCAAAATTTTAGCAAACATTCAATATGGGCCAAGCCTCAGTTATAATTACTGGGCTCTAATTGAAGAGCAAATTTCCAAAAGTCCACAGAAACTTTCTCAAAAATGTATCCCATGAATAAAGTGAGTTTTGGAAATTTACTCTTCAATTGGGTTTCTGATTTATACATAATGGTGCATTTCTGTGCATAGAAAATAGCAAGTATCTAACTTGAGGACATAATCTTCGGTTGGCACATAGGTTAACCAGTGTTTCTCAATCTAGCCCTTGGGGACCCACAGGCTGTCCTCGTTAGGCAGCTGGAAGCGGCTAAAAATGTGGACTATCTGTGGGTCCCTTAGGATGAGGTTGGGAAACACTATATTAAACAAATGAATAGCAATTAGATTAAGATTAGTTAGGTAACTTTAAGCCGATCTTCTCTCTGCAGCCAGCTCATCCATCACACTAGAGCCCAATGGCCCAACTGTACTACAAGAAGGCCCAGCCTTCGCCCTACCGTGACCGCATCCCGCTGCAGGTGGTGCGGGCAGAGCTGGAGCTGTCGCCAGAGGAGAAGGCCTACCTGATGGCCGTGGAGAAGGGGGACTACGTGGGCGTCCAGCAGGCCCTCCGAGGGGCCGAGCTCTACTACGACATCGACATCAACTGTGCCGACCCACTGGGACGCACGGCGCTGCTCATCGCCATTGAGAATGAGAACTTGGAGGTGATGGAGCTCCTGCTGGAGCACGGTGTGCGGCTGGGTGATGCGCTCCTCTATGCCATCCGCAAGGAGGTGGTGGGAGCTGTGGAGCTGCTGATGTCCCACCGCCGACCTAGTGGCGAGAAGCAGGTGGGCCTAACTCAGCAGCTATCAGACAAAGAGACTATACTGCAAAAAGCCATTTAATCCCCCACTGCTTACAATCCCAGAGGATTAGATAAGCTTTATTGAACCCAGGGGGAAATTCTTGTGCATAAGCAGAGGTGGAAATTTCAGGTCCAGAAAGTAATCCCCAGACTATGATTTTGTTTCAATCAACCTGTTGCGTACTCTGTGACTGTGACTCTTTACACTCAGCTGGTTAATTGAGACTAAATCACAGGCTGCATAAACAGCCAGACAAATAAACCAGCTGCTTGTTACCCATGATGACAGATTACATAAATGGTATAATATCTGATTGCATTAACTCTTATAAAATAATAAAATATATCATAATAATAAAAAAATTATCACATAGATTTCTGTGATTATTATTAATTGCACCTATAATTAAAATTTAAAGTATTTATACATAATTAATGTAGAAGTAATACAAAGTGGAGTGTATGAATAACTGCCACAAGCTCATTACTGTAACATTAATTTTATGCAAATGCTAGATAGACTCAATTTATACAACTTCATTGTCAATTTTGCCCCTGGGGTAGTTAATTAGTTTTGTTACTGTTATGATCTGCGTGCAGGTGAATGGGGAAGCAGGCAAGTGGAGTCGTGAAGTCCAATAAACGTGGATTTAATGGTCACAGACGGGCAGAACAGGACAGGACAGGCACTACGCAAACCAACATTAATGACCGATCTGGGAAACAGTGGGAGACACGGACTAATATGGACAGGATATGGTGAACAGAACAGGCCACAGATGAGAACAATTAGGGATGAACACGAGGTAACGAGGTGGGCGTGGCACACATTAGGATCGGACGGAGCGGGGCATGACAGTTACCACTTATTTCTGAAATAAACTCAAATATTTTATCAAATCCAGAGGATGAGTTACTGAGATGAGGAAAAAATTACAGAACTTTAACATACAAATTGATTGTTTATTGCTTTATGTAGTTTCACAGTGGATATAAAAAGTGCACACACCCCAGTTAAAATGTCAGGTTTTTGTGATGTGAAAAATGACACATTAAAGGTGGGAAAAATTGATTTTCCATGGTCTCATTTTTTTACATCACAAAAACTTGGCATTTTCAAGATGTGTACATTTTTATATCCACTGTATTTTATTGAAATTTGACCACCTTTTTGCTAAAAAAAAATCATCAAATCACAGCGACATAATATAATTTTAATACCTATTAAGTTAAGGTAATGGCAGTTGCTTTACACAAATAAACTCTCACAAAAATTCTCAAGTTTGTGAGAATGACCCATACTGTAATATTTGTTTCATGATTAAACAAATGATTAATTAATTAACTTAAGATGTACAGATTATTCATTTCCAACAAAAATGCTTCTTGCAAGCAAGTATATGCTGAATTTCAATGATTTCAAAAAGGTTCAATGAACAGATGGCAATAAGAAAAGGAGAGGGTATTTCATGGTATTGCTTTGTAAGGAGGGATGCTACACAAATATTTTTTAATCAGTCACCTTGGGTGATTAATGCCATATACCACTGCACATATAATCGCATGTGCTGAACAAAACGAAACCCTATTTAATCCCGACTGCGTGATCAATCTAAAATGTTAAACCTATTTAAACCTCTAAAAACAGAAGCCTGACAACCACTGAATATGCACTTGAAAGGCCTCAAGATTTTAAGGTATAAGTCTTCAATAAAATAAACAACAATTTTGTCCTAAACCAGGTGACATCAGCTTCCCTGTGAAATTGTAAAATAGTAACTAGATGTTTTGATATGAGCTATGAATTCTGGGATTCTGTGCCACATCTTGACTTAATTTCTCACAATAGCTGTGCCCCATTTCAGGGGTTGCATCCTTCTAACGCTGTATTCAAAGACCAAATGCGTCACAGAGGCATGACAAGGCTGCCCCATTTTGAAGGCTCCTTCAAATGTGGCTTTCGCATCCTTCTTTTTCCGAGTCGTAAAGAATCCACCCAAATCATACCAAGAACCATTCCACAGATTTTTAGAAGGACGCAGTCTACAAAGGTTTTATGCTGACCATGTCCTTCGAAGGTTGCAGCCCCTAAATTCAGCCACAGCTATTGTTTGCAGCCAGGAAAGAATATTACAGGTCTCTATTAAAATTTGTGCTCATACTATTCTACCATTTGGGTAACAAAACACTGCATGCGTTAACACGGTCAAAGAAATAATAATGCACACATTAATGCAATACATTTCCCAGTCCGAATAAATAAAATCTCTGAACTTAATTTTATTTTCCTCTCCCATTATGTAGCATGAGAGAGAAACCTTAGTTTTTAAACAATTTCTACCATTCGTTACCTTATTAATATTCTATCCACTTTACGTACATGTGTGCTTGGGCTAGTGAATTGTGGTGCCTATTTGTCTGTCTGTGAATTATGAAACAGAAGTGCTTAAATATGCTCAGCTAGCACAGTTGCAAACTAAACATATTTCCTTGAGTGTTAAGGCAAGCTGAAGGGCAGCTGGCAGCCTTCACATTAAATAAAGGAGAGCATGGAGCCTCTTTACTGAGATGTACTGAGATAAGAGGCACACTGCCCTGTGCAGCCTGGGGACCTGGCTGCCTGCTGTCTGTCTCTGATGCTCTCACTCCCCAGCTGTCTCTCCTCTCTGCACTGCCACAAGAGGAAGCAAAAGAAGACCTATTAAAGCCACAGCAGAGGAAGTGCAAAAAAACCCAACTTTTTTAACACTCTATCATCTTAAACCACTTATTTACCAGAGAAACAAAAGGTACCCTGCAGGTGTCTTTTCTTTCAAAAAGGTTATTTTCTCTTCTTTTCTCTCCTTTATCTGTGCAGACCTCGTTCTTGACAATCTGCATTCATCCTTTTCTCTGAATGTCATTATATTCAGTTGTTGCCCTCTTCCTCTGGCTACTTTTTTTTATTCCATTCTTCCATTGTCCCCCCCGCTCTCTCCCAGGTCCCTCCCCTGATGGACATCCAGTTTTCAGAGTTCACCCCGGACATAACGCCTATCATGCTGGCTGCACACACCAACAACTATGAGATCATCAAGTTACTGGTGCAGCGTGAGGTGACTCTGCCACGGCCGCACCGCATCCACTGTGCATGTGTGGAGTGCATCTCCAGCTCCGAGGCCGACAGTCTGCGCCACTCCCGCTCTCGCCTCAATGTCTACCGGGCACTGGCCAGCCCATCACTCATCGCCCTCTCCAGTGAGGACCCCATCCTTACCGCTTTCCGCCTGGGCTGGGAGCTCAAGGAGCTCAGCAAGGTGGAGAACGAGTTCCGTCAGGAGTATGAGGAGCTGTCTCAGCAGTGCAAGCGCTTCGCCAAGGACTTGCTGGACCAGGCACGCAGCTCCCGTGAGCTGGAGACCATCCTGCACCACCTCGGTGACCAGGCTGAAGACCCAGGCCGCAGCCCGGACAGCCATGACCTGGCCAAGCTCAAGCTGGCAATCAAGTACCACCAGAAGGAGGTAAGTGACAGCTACTCCTCTCTGGGTGTGACTGGGCTTATGAGAGTGAAAGAGAGGGAGGTAGAACTCTTACAACACTTACAAAAGGCTATGTAAACTCAGAACTATAGAGAAATGTGGGCGTGAAAACAAATGATGACATTCGGGCCTCTCTGTGAAGTATCTCTGAGGAGTACATCGCTGGCAGTGAGGGTGTGGCATGCGTGTAACTAAGAAACTGAAGGAGTGAGTTAAAGAACACAGGCAGAGGTGAAAGAACAAGAACGTGAAAGTGGCATCACTGTGTTTCTGTGGCCTCTGGTTCAGTTGCTACACTTGTTTGAGTTGTCATTAAAGTTTATCATATGTACTTAGTAGAGCAGATTGTTATGATTGATAATAAGAATTTTTAAAACAAAGTACAAAAAGAACCAGGTCTTCTCTACAGTCCAGCTGTGTTCCTACATTTGGGCAGAGCATGCCGATACCTTTGCTATGGTACCCAGATGCCAGACTGATTATCTAGCCGTTCTGCCCCCCCTGTGGTTCTCTTACTTATGGCTCTCCCACATATCCCACAATTCCCACCTGTGCTTCTCCTGCTGTCTCACACACTCCTCTCTGTGCCAGGTGACCCTGACTTCTAAATGCAAATGATTCAGTAAACAAAAAGTGTCAACTACTGAATTGAATACCATTTAAAAATATCATTTGTATAACTGCATTGTAATATAACAACTCAAACCTAATAGGAAAACCTGTTTATGCCTTAGACTCAAGGAGAGGATGACAACAGCAAAAAGATTTAGGTAAATCTAAACGTCCAACTCATCCAAAATAAACACAGTAATATTGACAACATTGTTGAAGGAATTCCTATTCTTAGTGCATTTGTTTTATGAAATAGTGGTTTTAAAAAGGGCAAGCAGGTGACTGACCAATCACATTTATAGCCCATTTGCCATTGCTAAGCCACCATCGTGCTGTTAATGCTGATACATTTTTAAAATTAAAACCAAATGCTAACTAGTAGGGGTGGAGCCGAACCCAAATACGGTATTCGGAAAGGCACAAATAATGTGTTTTTTACTTTAAAAAATATTTGTATTCGGGAACAAGAAAAATATATCAAAAAGCTGCGTTTCCTCTTGAGACCGCAGTGCATGCCCGGATGAGTGAGTGAGTGAGTTCAGGAGTCGGGGGGGAGTAAAAGAGGTGACTGACACATTCTGCTCCACACAGCAACAGAGAAGGCTCGGCTGAGCGAAAAAAAGACTTAACTGTATCACTATTTTTGTACCTTAACTGGGTTCCGGAGGCAGTTTATAACTTTCGGGAAGCGGAGTTTGATCGGGAGATTATTCCATTACGCTGCATTATTGACGTCTGCAGTCAGGTGCTCTCATGTTCGCTCTGTTTACGTAGCTGTTAGCTCGGTAATTTAGACAATAGGCTGTTGACAGAGTAACGTTAACGTTTGGTTAAAAAGGTTAAAACAATGCTTGTGTAGTTGTGTCGAATTGTATGCACTTGTAGGAGTTATATGGTACGTTTAAGTTACTCTGTCTACTGCATATCCATAATTATTATAATGGATATAATTAAAGAATACTTACACTGTAACGTACGTAAATTAGAAGTGCAACGCAAAAAAAACTGGATTTTTACGCCTATTTTGAATTTTACTCGAATACAGATACAAATACCGGCTACTTTGCACACCCCTACTAACTAGGTTCATAGTGATCCAGGGAGCCTTGACGAAGTCAGGGTTTTTAAAATTGCAAAATGCAAAGTTCTTTGATGCACTTTGATGACTTTGACCAGGACGTCACACGTGAGACAAAAAGGGTATTTAAGAAAAACTACCTGCACAGAAATGAAAACAGCCATTCAGTTTGGACATGTAGATGGTTTTTAAATGTGTATATTTGATTGTTTAGAATCAGGCTTCAGTTGGGACACCATGACTGTAAGAAATTTCAGTTACGCTTTACATAGGGTGACCAGATAATCCATGTCAGGGAGGACACTCTGAGCTAGGACAGGAATTGTAAATTACCATTTCAATTAAACGGACCTGGATTTCACTTGAGCACTCAGCTCTTGCTGTGTGCTGATTGGACAGTCCTATAATGTATGTGCATGTGTCACTAATGCTAATGTGAAACAGCTGGATGAGTCTTTCAGTCAAGGAAACAAACCAGTCAAAGCACAAGAAGAGCTAAACTATTTAGCCGAGCACAGGAGCCTTTCAATTAGAAAGTAGTTTGTAAAACCCAAAGTAACTCAAAGTGTCCTCCCTGACATGGATTGTCTGGTCACCCTAGCTTTACATTAACTGCACTTTCATAATGCCATTATAATGCATTTATATAAAATTCATAAGCAACATGTAAGTATACCTTAATATCCTAGCAAACCTTAAGAACCTCAATATACTGAACATTAATAACAAACATTATATGATTATAATGGTATTATATAATGTTTGTTATTAATTAATATTAAAGCTGGTAAGGTATGTTAGGGTGCTACGGTATACTTCATGCTGCTTACGAATATTCCATGAATGCATTATGAAGGCGTAGTTAATACGAAGCATTACCCAAACTTCCCTATCGTCTCATTTATGGTTGAGTCCTAATCCGTATCTAAACAAGACATTCCCAGAAAACATCCATTAGTCCAGGCATCTATTTTCTTCAAGCCAGAGGAACCCACAAGTTTAAACAATAACCCTGGAGGAGTGAGGTTAGAGTGATAGCCACAGAGAGGCTGTCCAGAAACCTTACAACATGCTGTCTGTTTTTGGACAACATTTCACCAGCTTTGTGACTAAACCACAAATCCACTGTAGTTCTTTTAAAAAAACAGTATCATCCTAGACAGTTCATGACCAACATGCCATGTCACCCACAACTGTGTAATCACAGAGCAATAAAACAATGCGAACTTGGGAACTTATCTATCTTGCTGGACTATTAATACACACTTACGTAAGTACCACTGCATGTCTACGGAGCAACCTGGTCGAGAATGATGGATGACAGATGCATTATGTTCTTATAAAGCTGATTAAAATAAAGCTGCAGTGGGAGCAAAAGCACAAAGTCTTGCTAAATATGTCTGGATGGCGTGCATAAGAATAGTGAAGCTTTCCATTTAGGTCAGCAATTAAGAGTAAAACTCACATCCTCCAGCTTCTCCCCCCCCCTCCCAGGTCAGAATGCAATTGACCACATGCTGCCCGCAATATGTCTTGGCATCTCAGCAACTTATTTGAGTTGCCAGACTGCATGCCTGCCCATTATCTGAGACATTACCGTGGCAACAGTACAGCCAGCACTGATAATGAAACTAGTCACCCAAGTCCTTGCAAGGATGGGTCAAGACCTTTTACAGCCAACATGTTTCATTCAGTCGGCATAAATCTCCTCCCTCCTAACCCCACTAAGTCTCCTTAAAACATACTGGAGGAATGTTGTCTATATGGTCACCATGAGTTATCAACTTGACAGCACCTATAAATAATCAGAACAAGTATATGTACATTGGCAACTAGATAGTGCTTTGTGATGTTTGTAACCATCGTGGGTAAACAAGTGGAACATACTGTTAATAATGCAAGTGGTATGCTACCAGTAATGTTAGCATTTTTATAAAAACTCAATGGGAGGGGGTTTATTCACACCATATCACTTCTTGCTGTTTGCAGTGGACATATTCAGCTATTCTGATAGTTTAAACTCACTATGTATCACTGAAGCTGTAGTTATACAAAATTCTGTGCTACAGGAAACATTGCTTGACACCTCTTCTCCATAATCACTGATCTATCCAGGACCAGCCCAAGCTTTATGTGAGCAAAGTGGTGGCTTAGTGCCCATCGGCCACCAGGAGGCACCCCAACTCATCAGCCTGTCAGAGTGGGGAGGAAGATCACAAATGACAATTATGTTCATCAGATCTTGCTTAGGGCCCCCAAAGGGTTGGGCCAGCCCTCTTTCGATCTGACCCCCCTTATTTGTTGGTCATTTATGTAACCAGACATCCCTCCTTTAACCCAACCTACTCTCCCCAGTTTGTGGCCCAGCCCAACTGTCAGCAGCTACTGGCCACACTCTGGTACGACGGCTTCCCTGGATGGCGCCGGCGACACTGGGCAGTGAAGCTTCTGACCTGTGCCACTATAGGCCTGCTCTTCCCTTTGCTGTCCCTGATGTACCTGCTGGCACCTCGGAGCTCACTGAGCCTCTTCCTTAGGAAGCCTTTCATCAAGTTCATCTGCCACACAGCCTCCTACCTGACCTTCCTCTTCCTCCTGCTGCTGGCATCACAGCATATCGCCCGTACCAACCTGCATGTCCAAGGTCCTCCACCTACACTGGTGGAGTGGATGATCCTGCCCTGGGTGCTCGGTGAGAGGGGCAGCTCTGTGGGATGATAAAGCCCTTAACCTTTTCACCACTACATGAAAAACTTCTCAATTTAATTTATTCATTGTTTTATTAATCTTATACTAGACAGGATTTAAAAATTGGTGCATTCGTAAAAAGTCATCATTAACAAATTTAGTGAGTAAATATTAGTTAATGTAATAGCACATACGGTACCATAGTCAAAATCACTACAGATTAATACTCAAATTCCATAGATTTTTATGATAATTCTTTATGTTATTACTGGAAATTTTCTTGACAGCAGTCCATATATTTTCTCATTCTTGACCAGGGTTCATCTGGGCAGAGATTAAAGAGATGTGGTCCGGGGGCTTCACAGAGTACATCCACGACTGGTGGAACCTGATGGATTTTGCCATGAACTCTCTCTACCTGGCCACCATCTCCCTCAAGATTGTGGCATATGTCAAGGTTAGACCAGTCATTTTCTCAATTACTGTTTTGGTTTCAGACTTTTTGAATAATTTTCTTTTTTATGATACCCTGCCATCCATCCATCTATCCAACCATCCATCTTCAAACTGGTTTTCCTGAACAGGTTCTTGGAGGGGCCTGGAGTATATGCCAGGCAGTACAGGCCAGAATGCATGACTACTCTCTAGAAAAGAAAATATGGTACATTTTTAAAGTTGAAAAAACTGGTAGCATATGACTTGGTCATGTATGACAATTGCTATACTTCTTAAGAGCTTTGTGAAGCTAAATCTATCTAACATGGTTAGCTTTTTTTGAGACTGAGGCACTGGCAACTTTCATAGCTACTTTATTTAAAGTGATACCTTCTAAAGAAGGCCTAGGACATCAAGCCTTGATGTCTCTACTGAAATGCTCTTTTGGGGCTCTCTAACTTTAGTTTTGTTCAAATAATGTGTGATATTCCTATATATGATATTTTCAGTGAATATTCCAGAAGGTGCCTCTCGATGATCTCAGCTCAGGTTGCCCCCCTCTGCAATGCAGTCATATTTTTGTGTGGGCTGCATCTGTCAGGCATTTCTTGGGTTTAGGCTTGAACAACTGCTCCAGCGGCAGGTGTACAGAGTGTGCACTTTTGGGTAGTCACAATGGCTTTAAAAATTCACATTATTGTTGTATTGTATTGCATACATGTCTCTGTGATGTCTCTTTTAATGGTGATCTTACGAAAAACCGGGAAATAAGATATGAATCCCTTTCGTTACCTCAAGCCTCGCTTCTCTATGCACTAAATTGCAATAGAACAAGGCCAAGCAACTGCTGGTCTGATTATATATTAGAAGAAAGTGTATAAATGAGGGTGAATCATGTTTGGAACTACTCCACAATCCGAATTCACTGTCTTTAATGTTTCTGTAATTCTGTTGTAATAATGGTGTTCGGCAAACACATCCTTGGAGAGAACATTATGAAAACACATCTATGGTGGTGAAGTGGGAACTAAGTCATCAGCTGAGGCTTGTGGTTTATTTGTAAATCTACTTTGGATATGACATTAAACTGCATCCGGCCCTCCATCCGAGAATGGCTCCATGTTCCTTGACTTTGTGAAAGGTCTGGGGCTGTGGGTTACTGGATCCAGGTTCTAACATCCACATCGTTGGACTTGGTACTCCAATACTGGTGGTGCAGGGAAGGAGATAAATCACATCCTCATGGGCAGATGCTAGAGGCTCCTGCAGAACTGCAGGGTCTACAGAAGTGCCCAGTTTGTGAATTCTGACCACAGACTTCTTGTTGCAATGCTGAAAATTCCAAGAGGCTACCACACACTAGGAGAATAAGGCTAGACTTAGCCAGACTCCTAGATCAAGCTGTTTCTGATGAGTTTGCACATAGTTTGTGTGAGGAACTTGCAGACTTGGGTGCGACTGCTGTGATGTAGGAGACCTTCCATGACAAGACCCTGAAGGTTGTCAAGGGTTGTCTTGGTGTTCCCAGAAGGAGGTGTTTCATCTTGCAGGGCACCCTAGATATTATCAAGGGGAGTTGCAGCACACGACTTTGTGGCAACTCCAGTCTGTACTGGGAGCTGAGGAGGATGACTGTGAGGGATCTTAGGGAAGATAAGGAGACATTTGTTAGATGAATCTGTGAGCAGGTGACACACCATCTGTGGTCTAGTGACCCACGTCCTGCTTCCAGAGGAATTGAAGCATTACGCACATCTGAATCTGTTCCTCGGAGACTTGGAGTCAGGACTGGTGATGGAACGATCCTTACAGATAACACTGCAATTGTGATCCGCAGGGCTGGGTACTTTGAGCAGTTGTTTAAAGCTAACCCTCCAGCTAGGATGCTGGACATCTCTGGGTCCACAGTTCTTAAGGCTGATCCTCCAATCAGCTGTGAACCACCCAATCTCACTAAGATTTCACAGGTGGTGAGTCAACTGGGGTTAGGGAAAACCACAGTGATCTGTGGTATCTGGGGTGAACTTCTCCAGGCTGGTGGTAAGGCTGTCCTCCTGGCATTGCATGCAATCTTTGCTTCCATTTGGGAGTCAGGAGTCATCCCAACTGACTGGAAAACGGGACTTGTAGTGAACCCATGGATTGTGACAACTACAGGAAGATAACACTGCTCTCAGTGTTAGTTAAGGTGCTTGCTAGGGTCATCCTTAATAGGATCCATGATCACTTTGTCACCTGTCAGCGACCAGAGCAGTCAGTATTACGCCTCAGAAGTCTACCCTTGACTGCATCCTTGCACTGAGGGTTCTTACCGAGCACAAGTGCGAATATTGGCAGAGGATCTTTGCAGCCTTTGTCGATTTTCATAAAGCGTTTGATTTAGTTGATTGAGTTGCCCTGTGGGACATCCTGATATTTCTTAGGATCCCCCCAAAGTTGCTGGCATTCATGTCCAGCCTGTTTACTGGTACTATGAGTGCTGTGTAGAGTAGAGGGAGAACTTCCATGTTCTTCCCAGTTGATTCTGGGGTTCACCAGGTGTGTGTTCTTGCTCATACTCTGTTCAATGCTTGTATGGATTCGGTGTTGCGCAGGGTCGTTGAGTCCAGCAGTTGTGGGGCATCGGTAGGTGAAGAAAGATTTACTGATCTTGACTTTGCCGGCGATGCTGTCGTCTTAGCGGAGTCAATGGAGGTTCAGATCGGGGCTCTCGAGACTACTGAGCGAGTGTCTGAGATTACGGGTGACCTGGATAAAGACCAAGATTCAGGCCTTTAATAACTTCTTAGGCACAGCTATAAGTAGTGTGTCCATCTGCGGGGAGAATGTCGACCTCATTAAGAGATTTACTTACCTTGGAAATGTCTCTGGTGACTCTTCCTATGAAGTCAGCAGATGGATTGGGAGAGCATGGGTGATCATGAAGTTGCTCCCGATATCTTTGCAAGAGGGTGAAGGTCCAAGTCTTTAGATTCCTGATGCTCCCTGTCTTGCTGTATGGCTGTGACACAGGGATGCTATCCAGGTCTCCGGTCCTGTGTTTCTTTGGAGAATCCTTAAGTACTGCTGGCTTGACTTTATGTCAAATGAGCAGTTCCTAGGGGAGTTCTGAATGAGGCACATTACCTGCATTGCGAGGTAGCGTCAGTTACGGCACTATGGCCATGTGGCGCATTTCTCTGAGGGTGATCCGGCTTGCAGGATCCTCATTGCTGAGGACCCAAGCGGCTGGACCAGGCAGAGGGGGAGCCCATATAATCGGCTGCAGCAGATGGATGGCCATTTCCAGAGTGTGGGACTGGACCAAGTATCTACCTGGGCGGTCATCAGCTAGGATCCCGAGGAGTTGTGGTGGGTGCAGCAACATACTGCATCAGTGCATGCTCCCCTACCTGACCTGACCTGACCAGGAGCTGCTCCAGGCACATCCTACTGGGTGGAGGCCCCAGGGCAGACCCCGGACATGCTGGAGACATTATATCTCCCAGCTCTGAACTATTTCTGGCATCTCTGGAATACTGCCATCACAATTTTGATCAGGAGTAGAAATATAATGATGATGATGATGATGGTGATGGATGAAGATCAGGGGTTAAATTAGAATCATAGAGGAGGAGTCCTGTCAAGGACAGACAAGGGGTGGGAGGGGGGTCCTGAATAAGCTGCTCTGTATATTAGTTTATTAGTTATGTATCCAGTCTACATGTGTTTTGTGGATTTGGAAAAGGCTTACGACCGGGTTCCCCGAGGTGCTCTGTGGGGGGTGCTTCGGGAGTATGGGGTCCGGGGTCCGCTGTTGTGGACAATTCGGTCCCTGTACGAACGGAGCAGAAGCTTGGTCCGCATTGCCGGTAATAAGTCGGACGTGTTCCCAGTGCGGGTTGGGCTCCACCAGGGCTGCCCTTTGTCATCGATCCTGTTTATAATATTTATGGACAGGATTTCTAGGTGCAGCCAGGGTGTTAAGGGTGTCAAGTTTGGTGGCCTCAGGATTGCCTCACTGCTTTTTGCAGACGATATCGTCCTGTTGGCTTCATCTGCTGGGGATCTCCAGCATGCACTGGGGCGGTTCGCAGCCGAATGCGAATCGGCAGGGATGAGGATTAGCATGTCCAAGTCCAAGACCATGGTTCTCAGCCGGAAACAGGTGGATTGCCCTCTTCTAGTCAAGGAAGACGTACTGCCTCAAGTGGAGGAGTTCAAGTATCTCGGGGTCCATCTTCGTCCCTGCCCTCACCTATAGTCATGAGCTATGGGTAATGACTGAAAGAATGAGATCGCGAATACAGGCAACCGAAATGAGGTTTCTCCGCAGGGTATCTGGGCTCTCCCTTAGGGATAGGGTGAGAAATTCGGATATCCGGGAGGGCCTCAGAGTAGAACCGCTGCTTCTTCACGTCAAAAGGAGCCAGTTGAGGTGGTTTGGACACCTGGTGCGGATGCCTCCTGGGCGGCGACCCGGAGAGGTTTTCCGTGCATGTCCTACAGGGAGGAGGCCCTGGGGCAGACCCAGGACTCGCTGGGAAGGATTATATCTCTCGGCTGGCCTGGGAACGCCTCAGCGTCCTTCCCGAGGAGCTGGTAGAGGTAGCTGGGGAGAGGGAGGTCTGGGTATCTCTCCTGAAGCTGCTACCCCTGCGACTCGAACCCCGGACAAGGGACAGATAATGGATGGATGGTTATGTATTTGTGATCACTAAGATGCAGCATGTTCATTTGTCAGTATGTTCTTTTAGCACTTTAAAACAATAAAGCATTAACTAAAAAATGTGATTGAAAAGTTACTTTTATTTGATACAAGTATTGTACCTATCAGGTCATAAAATTGTACTTGATTTTTTTAAACATAGCATGTACATGACAAAGCTTAAAAATCAAAATACTTTATTAGATTATATTCAATTAATTTTGTTGATCCCAAAGGGAAAGAAGTAATAACCTTGCTACACTACAAGTATATCCTTGCTCAATTAATGATGTCCCCATGAAAAAGCATTAAAATATTAAGTTATTCATGTATTGCTTCTTACATGTGTCTTACCTCTAGCTAGTAAGTGATGTTTTGGCAGCTATACGGTATGCAAAACACGTCAAAATACAAAAACACGGCACACAAGACATCGTGTAGGAATATCTCATCCAGTCAGGAAATGAATATCTGATCAGAGCTACTGTACTAATGAAAATTAACATTAAAGCTGATGGAAAAAAACTTGATTTTTAGCTTGAAACTGAATGGAGGTGGGGCTGTGCTCTGGCAAGGTGTGTTTTGGGCATAAGGAGCTGGGCTCCATCAGGCTCCAGCCACATTTAAACCCTGATGATGATTATGATTTGGAAATTGAAACTGAATTGGATTGAAAGTTGAATTTAGCTCTTCGCTCCTTTTACCTTTTCCAGTACAACAGTTCACGACCACGGGAGGAGTGGGAGATGTGGCACCCAACACTGATCGCTGAGGCCCTGTTCGCCATTGCCAATATCTTCAGCTCTCTGCGGTTGATCTCTCTCTTCACGGCTAACTCGCACCTGGGCCCACTGCAGATCTCTCTGGGCCGCATGCTGCTTGATATCCTCAAGTTCCTCTTCATCTACTGCCTGGTGCTTTTGGCCTTTGCCAATGGCCTCAACCAGCTATACTTCTACTATGAAACACAGGCAGCTGATGAGCCCAACCACTGCAAAGGCATCCGCTGTGAGAAGCAGAACAATGCCTTCTCCACGTGAGTGTGGCAACCCTCCAACATGGCACTCAGACTAGAGCTGATGTGTTTTGTTTTGCCTGCAAAATACCAAGTCTACTTTATTTTATACAACACACAATTATTTAACATTAAAACATCTGGTGAGGTCAAGTATTTATGAATGTCCACTGGAATTTGATTTCCAAGGGATTTTTAAATTGAAGATCAATTAATTGTTTGTCCACTAATGGTCCTTATACTGATGATATCATTGTATCATCATGATAGTCAATAGTGTAATAGTAGTATAGTATTATTGGAAAATCCTTTGTATTATACATTAGGTGGACGTGGAAAGTGCAGGAGTGATATCCTGAGACGGTATTTGAGAAACAAATCTTTTCATTAATTTGTAATGCAAATTAGTGGTCTAAATTACAAGTTGTCTAAACATTAAGACTCTTAATTAGCTGTGGTATTAGAATATTTCTAGGGGGGGCACTAGAGAGTTTGTGTCCCATGAAAGCATATCATATCGGGGCCCTAACTCAAACCAATCCAATTATGTTACAGATTTTTTAGGCGCCCTTGGAATCGCCCAAACCCACCACCTCCACAGCATCTGTGCATTTTTTAAATGTCTGCACCAGCAATTGATCCCCCTCTATGCAAATGGAGTCTGATGACCCAATCTCATAGTTTCTGGGGGAAAGTATATTCTGCAGAGGCTACTGGGCAAGGTCTACTGCTCTGCCTTTCACAACACATATTCTTCTTAGGCTTGTGCTTGACATTATTAAATTGTTTACTACTAGGGATTCGATTCAGAAAATCATGAGGGTGAGAAGCCATATATAGACAGTGATCCATCTCTTCACCATATAGACCTCATTGAGCTGCATGTGTTGAATTACAGCAGCAGTTATTACTATGACAGGTCAACATGAAGTCAGGGGCCATTTAATGTGCCAGTCTGTGTCTAACATGCTGAGGGAGACTTTGGCGGAATGTGTACCTCGTTTTTGTTAATTTATAATCTGGATATGAAAAATATATAAACATGAAATAACATGCAGAAGAATGTTTAATTTGATATGAAGTTCTTGGACTGCAGGATAAGTAGAAGTCTCAAAACAACCCGAAAATCTCCATCTGTCTCAATCTCATCTACTCTTTCTCCATCGTGTAGGCTATTTGAGACCCTGCAGTCCCTGTTCTGGTCAGTTTTCGGCCTGATAAACCTCTATGTCACCAATGTAAAGGCTCGGCATGAGTTTACAGAGTTTGTGGGGGCCACCATGTTTGGGACCTACAACGTCATCTCCTTGGTGGTGCTGCTCAACATGCTCATCGCCATGATGAACAACTCCTACCAGCTCATTGCTGTAAGTCTGCTTGTAGAAAGCAAGAAGGCAGAGCTTCTAGTCATGTATTCACAAAGGCATCAATAACTCATTTTTAGGCTTGGTCTGATACATTCCAGCTACCTGATATGTGTTCTGCTCCTATATTCATGTTCATTCTAAAGGATGGAAAAAAATATAAATTTCTGAGAGAATGACTGAGACAATTGACTATACTTTGCATATCAGTTGTTTCACATCTCTAATTCCTGCAGGAGTAATTCAGGTATAATGTGGGGAACATTCGTACCTTAACTGAAAACAATGAGATGGTCATACTGTGACATAAAAATGTGCATGGTGTTTCATTAATGCAGACCCAGATTTTTATGTATGCATGAGTATAGCCAGCTTTAAAAATCTGCACAATGCTGCCAAGAAAATGTCCAGGAGAGCGGTTTCACATCCCACTATATTCTTTCTCCTTCTATTTCCCACACTCGTCCTGGTGCTGAGCAGGACCACGCAGACATTGAGTGGAAATTTGCACGGACCAAGCTGTGGATGAGCTACTTCGATGAGGGGGGCACTCTTCCCCCACCTTTCAACATTGTGCCCAGCCCCAAATCAGTATGGTACCTGTGTATCTGGGCCCATGGGCGGCTGTGCAAACGGCAGGCACCTCCACATCCCGATAACCTCAAGGAGTTCACTGTAAGGCAGTAATGCAGCATGCAGTCGCACTGAGCCATACAAGCACTGCACTAAAAGCCCTGAAAACAGCACTGAAGTATGGGATTTTCACCATTATTTCTTATTGGCAGTTTCTACTGAATTGTAAGAGTATTTTTTGAGTGCAGTGATGTGTCTTTTTCACAGCAGAGTCTGTAATTCGCCCCCCCCTGGGATAGGTGCTGTTTCTCTTCTTTTTTTTTTTGTCAATGCAACGCCTTGGTTTTCACATTTCATACTTGCCAACTGGACTGACCAGCCTGAAATTTACAAGAGCCATCTATTCATGCAGACAGAGGCCACACTTCTTCACCATCTACACTGTAGTCTCTTTTTACCTGACAGAACCTGACAGAAGTGGAGTGAGACTGAGGGGAGAATCACCTTTCTGTGTAAAGCAGCAATATGATCATGTTTTTTGGTTCACGTTACCTTTAATCATCTGACTGTTTAGAGCTGAATTATTCATAGTATGAGAATTTCTCTGCTCGGGGTGAGGAGCAGATCTATATGACACGGGGGTGAAAGGACAGAATGGGCACTTGATTTGGGAAGGGGGAAAGAACAAAAGCAGACATGACCAAGGAAGGGAAACTGGGTGACTTAATAAGCTAATCACCTAATTTTGCCCCACCCTGTCATGTCAGCATCCACTGCTCCGTCCATAACCCTGCAATAAGCAAAATTTTAATACCCTCTTTTATAGGACAGTATTCGTGTACATCTACAATACAGTGGGGAAAAAAATGAAAGTCACTCCCAGATCACCCACATACACACAAACACACACTTACACCCACACACTTATGTTTTCAGATAGAGCCTTGGCAGGATTATATAAGAAAGCCTACTTTAAGCTCTGAAATATGTGCTGGTACTCTGGTGGTCAATGGAAAAAATTTGATCTCTGCTACAAATCAGGAATATATTCTTGTATTTGGAAAACTGATTTTTGGGCTTTAGCAGATACAATAGTAAATGACTGTACACCAACCCTTATACAAATTATGTAAAAATATTGGTAGCTGTATATAATTAATAGCAATCCAGGTGGTGAGACATTACTCTTTTGATGCTGAAATTTCCCTTAATTACTTGTGTTTCAGGATCGCCATGCCGACAGCCTAATACAGAATCAGCATTATCAGGTACATGGCACAGGGTCAGGGGCCATATCATAATAGCAATTATCATATTATTAGGTTCTTTCTGTGCCCATAGGTTCCCAAGACTATACAACTTCCACTCTGGGCAGAACTCTAAGAATATAATTGTCCCCTTTGCAATCAAATACTTATTGTTTTCTCCTTACCTTTTTTGCCTAGTCTTTTATTTTTTATTTGTGGGTGGATTGGTGGCTCTGAGGATAGGGATCTGTGCCCGCAACTGGAAGGTTGCTGGTTCAAATCCTGTGAATGCCCAGAGTAATTCTACTCCATTTGGCCCTTGAGCAAGGCCCCTAACCTGCAATTGCTTTGTCCTGTGTATGACATTAATGTACATCCAGTCCTATAAGGAGGTCCTCCAACTTAAAGGGAACTTGGAGGTTGGTCACAGGATTGGCACTCCAGCCACTGGAAAAAAACTCACACTGGTCCATTTGTACTGGTGTGGTGCTGAGGTGTTACCTGCCACATGGCTGCATTCAGGTTCACACCCCTGAGGTGGTTTGTCATGTGGTGGATGCGGCAACACACTATATCAGTGCATGCTCCTTATCTCTCTCTTTTATTTTCCCAGTCTAGAACAATTTACCAAGTTTTTCATTTCTGGTTACCAGTTTATGTCTCTAGCAATACATTGAAAAGCAACAGTGCACAGTATCTACCGCCTGATTACATCAAATGGGTACAGCATCTTCCTCAATAGCTATGAAACTAAAGAATAGTAACAGTACCTGTTCAGATGTGGGACATGGCACTGTTCCTCTGTATCTTTCCCAGGAAGTAATTCGTAACCTAGTAAAGCGGTATGTGGCTGCCATGATCCGAAGCTCCAAGACAGACGAAGGGCTGACAGAGGAAAATTTCAAGGTGTGTCATGCCTTGAGTATATCGCAGTACTATCATATCAGCATGTGTGAAATATGTGAAAGCTGCCATGTCAAGGGCATTAAATTATGTATGTCCATGCATGTCTTTCTTTGCAGGAAATGTTTTTTTAGGCTGACCAGAAGTTCTAAACTATTTTTTTCTATTTGAATTATTTTATTCCTGGCTATTTCTCAGTATTTCTAGGGTGACACAAGAAACAAAAGGGCCTATTTAAAAACGAATCAGAAAGCAATGGCACCTTCTTTATAGTGCAATAGTGTCACTCTTTTTAACACTGCATGAGAGTATGTGATATGAAATATGCTTTGGGTAAAGTAGCATAACAAACCAAGTCCACAAAAGGCTTTGCAGTTTTCTGTTTTGCCTAAAATAATGTTCCCACTTAGTCAACCCCTTATTCCCTCACTCTCTCCAATTCCTGTTGTTCTTGCCAGGAGCTAAAGCAGGACATTTCAAGCTTTCGCTACGAGGTCCTGGATCTACTGGGGAACCGCAAGCCTCCACGCCAGACCTACACCTCCAACAACGAGACCACAAAAGCAAATGCCAATGAAGCCGTGGACAGTCAGGCATGGGGAACAGTTGGGACTCCAGGTGAAGGAAGAAACTGGGTCAAGCCTAAGGGTGTGTCCTTTAGGCTGTCAAACTCCAAGACAGCAAAGTGGGATTCAGTCTTCAGTGTCTCTGCCCTCTTTAAATCCATGACAGGCATGGAGGTGCAAACAACAGTGGACAAAGCTAAATGCAATGGGGTAAGAAAGTCCTCCTCATTTTCATCCTCCTCCTCACTGGCCAGCAATAGAGGTAAACTGCGGCGTTTGTCTGGATCCAGGAGGAACTCCTTCAGGCAGCTTGGCCGGCTTTTCTCCCGCACAACCACTGGCCTACCAGGCCTTAACCCTGGACCTGCCCACAGCACTTCAGATGGACTGTCACAGCCTGCTGCAGTGTTGCAGGACCATAGGCCTATTGCCACCGAGCAGGTGACACACAGTGAGATGCACCTCAACCAGGTGGGTCTGGATTCCCAGACCAATGGACAGGGTACCTTACCTCCATTACCCCCCCTGGGCTTGCCCCCTTCCCTGCACTGTGCTTCCAGCTTCACTGCCTCTAATGATCGCCTTTATAACTCTAACAACGTTGTTTCTGAGGGCTGCTCAGGACCCTCTGATGGGCAAGACACCTCATTCATTTGGGAGGGCCAAGAGGACTCTATTACTACCCACCTGTAGGAACAATATGCCAGTGGAGGGGTGAAGAACCTGTTGAATTACTAACCAGGGCTGGTGGCTAATCTTCTGAAGCAGTAAACAAATTATTGTTTGCTTAGAAGTAAGCAGACAATTAAAAATTTATAGATAGTAAAGAGCTTAATAAATCCACTTGCAGTGATATTAACAAGCAAGTCCTTGAGATTTATATTTGCCTGCCTGCCTCCATCAACTTTGTTCCTGTCTTTTAGGACATAAACACCTGCATTCACAAATAGACTTCTGTTTGCCTTGTACATGTTTGATTTTGTGTGTTCTTGTTTGGGACATTGGGTGCCCCAGAGTACATTAGAACTGCACCGAAGGTGGCTGTGTTCCATGGTCAGCCAGTACATAGACAGATGTGTTATCTGGGATGCAAACGTATTTCTCTCTTGCCAAAAAAGTCCATGGTATTCAAATAGAAAGCATGCTTTTGCTACCTCTATCTATGAGAATATCCCCCATTAATGGAATAGCAGTTTGTCGCTTGTGTCATCCACAGAAGGTTTGCTACTTTAGTAGCAAATGAGTACATTTTCTGAATTTTAATTTGAAATGGATGATGTTAACATATGAAATCTTAGTTCTGAGTTTCAGTCCTCATTTGTGAACCCAACTCTGTCATCCGAGTCAACAGTTGGTCAGGGGTATGAGAGAATGTGTGAGCTGAGGTGGCAGACTGCCTAAAGCAAGATGAATTTTAATGAGTGACGAGAATTGCAGGAGGGAAGCTCACAAACACCCACTTCTCCTTCCGAATTACACGCCGTTCAGTCTTCACTTGCTAAAAAGGCCTTGTTGATAGCCCGTTCCTGACAGCACAGGTCACTTGCACTGCTGAAATAAGCCTTATTTTTTCCCCGCAAACGGCTGAAAACTGTTATGATGGGGAGCTGATATTTTATGCAAAACCACCCGGTTGTGTGCGGCGTCAGACTTGAGATGCTATCAGATGCAGGTGGTGATCTCTTTGGTTTATCTGGCAGGAGACAAGTGGTGACTAATGCCAGGATATTTTGCTGTGTTCTGGAATGATAATTACTTGTGGGAAGATTGGAAGTCAAGGTATAGTCGTTATGGTGAAGTCAAATCTGAATTTATGTGAAGTGGCCCTCAGACATATTCTGCAATAATTGTGGCCGATATGGAAATACACAAATGTATATCACAAATACATGAAGTTATGATCTAGTAATAGTACATTCTAATTTGAACTGCAGTGGAATTTCAAAAATTTATACTATATGCTTTATTGCAGTGTAATTTAAAGAATGGCATCAGGGTACGACTTTTTTTTTCTTAAGCTACTTTTAACATTCACTTTTACGCAATACATTTACATCTTTTCACAAGTTATCTGAATAAAAAGAAACGCAAAAGAACATTCATTTTCAAATTGAACAAGAGCCTTTTTTAAAAAATAGTGATGTCCAAGTATGTCTTTGGGAAAGCTGGGGGATCTAGTGAAAGGAAAAATGGAAGGAATTAAATAACATGAGTGTAAGAAAGATGAGAGGAAATGGTGAGCGAGATGGTATTGAAGTGGAGAGGTGGGCACTCATGTACCTCATCCAAAACATCTCATTTGCGTATTTTTCTGGTGCACCATTAGGATATTTGTGTGTGTGTGTGTTTATATATATATATATATATATATATATATATATATATATATATATATATATATATATATATATATATATACACACACACACACACACACACACACAACCCCAATTCCAATGAAGTTGGGACGTTGTGCAAATTGTAAATATGTAAATAAAAACAGAATGCAATGATATGGAAATCTCATAAACCCATATTTTATTCATAACAAAACATAGAAAACACATAGAAAATAAATGTTCAGTCTGGGAAAATGTATCATTTTTAGGAAAAGATAAGGTAATTTTGAATGTCATGGCAGCAATGGATGATACGGCATCCCTGGTTTCCAAAAAGTATTTCAAATTTAGATTTGTCTGACCACAGAACAGTTTTCCACTTAACCACAGTCCATTTTAAATGAGCTTTGGCCCAGAAAAGACGTCAGCGCTTCTGGATCATGTTCAAATACAACTTCTTCTTTGAATAATAGAGATTTAACTGGCATCTTTTGATGGCACGGTGAATTGTGTTCACTGATAACATTTTCTGGAAATATTCCTGAGCCCATTTAGTGATTTCCATTGCAGAATCATGCCTATTTGTGAGGCAATGCTGCCTAAGGGCCTGAAGATCATGGGCATCCAGAATACTTGTCTGTTACACACAAAGGTTTCTCCAGATTCTCTGAATCTTTTGATTATATTATGTACTGTAGATTATGATATTTTCGACCTCTTCGTAATTTTACACTGAGGAACTTTTTTCCTGAAATTGCTCCACTATTTGTCGATGCAGTATTAGGTGGGACTGGTGATTCTCTGTCCATCTTTACTTCTGAAAGACACTGCAAATCTAAGACATTCTTTTTATACCCAGTCATGTTACTGACCTATTGCCAATTGGCCTAATTATTTGCAAATTGTTCCTCCAGCTGTTGGGTCTTTGTACCACTAACTTTTCCAGCCACTTATTGCCCCCTTCCCAACTTTTTTGAGACGTGTTGCTGTCATGAAATTCAAAATGAGCCAATATTTTTCACTAAATAGCAAAATGTCTCACTTTAAACATTTTACATGTTTTATATGTTCTATTGTGAATAAAATATCAGTTTATGAGATTTCCATATCATTGTATTCTGTTTTTATTTGCAATTTGCACGTCCCAACTTCACTGGAATTGGGGTTGTATATATATGTCTGGCTGCATTTCAATTACTCAGTTCTATCTCCATATACAGTCCTGAACAAAATCTTAAGGCAGAGTAAAAAAATACAAGTATTTGCATTTCGCACTGGTATTTCGTAACCAGGTTGTAAGTAGAGCTTCGAAATGCAAAAAGAAGAAAAAGGAGCAAAACACAAAAAATAGAGTGTAGGCAATTTATTAAAAACTGCACTTAAACTCATACAGGCTGCTCATCAGTTGATCTAAAGTTTAAGACTGTAGCCCAAACAAACCCAAAAACAGAACTAAAAGTGTCAAAACAGGACTCAGTACTGAGTAGCCCCACCATTCTTGTTGATCACTTCAAAAATTCGTTTAGGCATGCTTGATGCAAGTATTTCCAGGAGTCTGGTGGGGACATTGCTCCATGTGGTGAAGAAGGCTTCATAAAGGTCATCCACGGTCTGGATCTGACATCCATTTTTGTAAACTTGTGAGAGGCCTTGCTTGTACAGCTCAACAAACCTGTCACATTCAAAGACAGAAAGCCTTTTTGCCTTTGCCATCAGGAGTTCATGACAGTATGACAGAAAATTACATGAAAGCCAGATTTTTGCGCAGATTCTACCTTTTAAAGGCTACAGTCTTAAACTTTTGATCAGCCTGTTTGAGTTTAAATGCTACTCTCTCTATTTTTTTATCCCTTGCTCCTTTTTCTTATTTACAAACTGGTTACGAACCACCAATGCGAAATGTGAATATTTGTAAAATCTTAAGATTTTGTTCAGGATTGTATGTACTCTGACAGCACTACATTATACAGAAATGGTGTGGTCTGTTTAATGTTACAAATAGAAGAAAAGATTGTGAAATTTTCAGCTGCTTGTATTCAAAACAACAACAAGTACATCAGTGAACTGCTTATCTGTTGATAATCTTTTGCTCTTGCCATAATGATTTTTTTTATAATAAATTGCAATAAAACTCATTATCCTCTCCAAAGCTCTGCTGTACTCATTTAAACAGGAGCAGCAGCAGAAAATGAATTAGTTACAAGATCTTCTGAGAAATTTGTGCTCTATTAACAAGTGTTACAAAAAAGTCCCATAAAAACATTTCTAGACCAACAGTGCAAGTAAGACTGATTAATAAATATAAAATGACAGTTAACATCCTACACAGGCAACCATTTGTGCATCCCCATTGTGACAAGCATGAAAGAATGAGTTCTCACTAAGGAACCACTGTGTTTGGTTTAAGACAAGGACTTGGCTCTTGGAAGATGAAAGTCTTTCCACACAATTCAGCAAACAAGTGACTGAAAGTGCACCATACCTTACATGGCATGGACATGCTGCCCATCCTGTCACGGGACTTCACTCATGTGCCCCCAGGAGCCAGATGCACAACAGGTGACATAAAATCTGCTTTAAATAAATTAGGATACATCTGGTATTCAGAATTATAGGTTCATAGTGTCATATTCATTTAAAACCTATTCTTCTTTTATTGCTCTTTGCTGTATTATTATTATTAATAATAATTATTATTATTATTTTTATTTGTGTTTGTTTCTGTGTATTTGCCATTGATAAATGACTATTTACTAGTCATTTCTCCATTAGTAGACTACGTGTTCACTTTGGCAGCACTTGCGTATCTTCGATGTGGCAATAAGGCTTTTTGACTTAAACGTAACTCATCTGAACGCAGTGTAGCACATCATTCCTCTCACAAAACAAACCATGTACTAATGTTTATACGTGTTTCTGATAATCTATGTGAGGGTCCCTGCTTTGCTGTTATTTAGGGATGACACCTGATATAAAGTCATAAGTGATCAAACTTATAAACAGTAGCTTCAAAAATGCCCAGCTTTCACTTTACTTTTGAGCTGCGTAATGAATCTGAATTGTTTCAGTAAATACAGAGTTCTATCAAACTAATTACCTGTAAGTTATCTAGGTAAGAATGTTTGTAACACTGTAATTATTACTTTGGTTATCTTCATTGCCGTCTTGGACTAAGCAAAAAATACATGCACTATTCCTATCCATTTTGATGTCTGATATTGCCCCCTGGTGGACAGTGAAAAAAAAAAATTTAAGAGTTTTTCTCTCAGACCCCTTTAGTAAAATAGCATCTCTTAGTCACATGAACATCAGCTATATTCATCAGCTGTTCATATACTCTATGCAATACAAGTGGTAATTAATCTAAAACAAAATATTATATAAAAACATATAGGGGGCGGCATGGTGGTGCAGTGGTTAGCACTGTTGCCTCACGCCTCTGGGACCTAGGTTTGAGTCTCCGCCTGGGTTACATATGTGTGGAGTTTGCATATTCTTCCCATGTCATCATGGGGTTTAATCC